GCTTCTTCTTACTGCTGTCTTTCAGCCACACCCCTGATCTTCTGGTAGGAAAGATCTACACCTAGCCTTCTCGGAAAAGGGCGAAAAAATCTCGGAGGGCCCGTGTGCAAGTTGCGCACGTTAAAGATCCCTTGGTGGTCTTAAAATCGAAAAGAGTAGGCTTCGGCCGCCACCGGAAAAAATTCAAAATTTCCTACCAACTGAAAATATTAGGTGTGTCCTGCGCGCAGTTGACCTTATGCAGTTGCGAGCGCCGTAAAACACTTTACCAAAACAAACAAACAAACAAACAAAACTTAGGCAGCTATATTCTCGCTAGTTATACCTCCGACACTAGGGATCCCTACCTCTTTCAATTGCAAATGTCTCAACTTCTATTTCAGATAGACGTGAAATTTTTGTCCCCTACTGAAAGACAAATGAACAAGCTTTAAGATGATGCCATTTAATTCATTTGCCCAAAAATTGACAAGCGCTTGATTTCACCGAGTCGTGACACACTTGACAAGAGCCTGATTTCGTTTGTTTTATTTTAGTAAGGTTTTACGGTGCTCACAACTTCATAAGGTCAAATGAGCGCCAAGGGGTGGATGTCAACAGAGAAGTCCACACAGGGAATCAGACTTACTCTGCTCACCTCTCTAGTCTCAACAGCACATAGTCTGCTTCGACTATCAAGACACCCCGGAAATGGCAGTTCACAACAGAGTGACAAACATACAAAAGAAGTAGAGTAAAAATGATGATAGTATGCTGGTTAGTTTCTTCACCGCTGCAAACAGAAGAAGTTTCCATTCTCGAGGAGAGGAGGGAGGGAGGGAGGAGTTGTTTGGTCACATTCTGACGCTGGACAGTTCGTATTGTAGCTACAGTTGCAGACAGTTTGGCTGACTGACACACTGACAGAAAGGAATGCAGACAGACAGATACACAAACAGACAAACAGACAGAGAGGGAGGCAGACAGACAGACAGTTAGTTTTAGTTTTAGTAGAGGTTTTATAGTGCTCGCAACTGCATAAGGTCATATGAGCGCCAGAAGATTAGACGTGTTACAAGAGAGTAACAAACATAAAAAAAGAAGAAGGGGAGATAAGGACGATAGATGTGTGATAGGAAAGAAGGAGCAAACCGCACCAGAGCACCCGCCAACCACCCACACAGACGGACAGAAACCTGTGTACCTCTCTATGGTACCGTTGGGAGTGAGGGACTCCACCACGGGGTCCGGGGTAAAACAGAACGTCTTATTACTTTGGGGTACCTGGTGCCAGTCAATTGTGACATTGACCTTCCCACACGAGATCGTTTTGTTTGCAGATGGGCCGATGATGCACTTCAGGTCCTCCCTGGAAGAGGAAAGCTCAGCCTCATGAAAACAATAGAGCCGAAATTGTCGGAGATGACCAACCATTTCCAAGGAGAACAGTGGCCATCTTCGACCTGTGACTGTCGCACACTTTCATTATAACATTTTTTAAAAATGCAAGAGCAGGCAAAATGGGAAGTGGCCGTTTACAGAGGTGATTATCTATACACAGGTGGTCAAAGGAGCAGGTGATTATCTTTATACAGATGGCCAGAGGAACAGGTAACTGTCTTATACAGGTGGCCGTTAGAGCAGGTGATTGTCTTATACAGGTGGCCAAAGGAGCAGGTGATTGTCTTATACAGGTGGCCAAAGGAGCAGGAGATTGTCTTATACAGGTGGCCGTTAGTGCAGGTGATTGCCTTATACAGGTGGCCGTTAGTGCAGGTGATTATCTTATACAGGTGGCCAAAGGAGCAGGTGATTGTCTTATACAGGTGGCCGTTAGTGCAGGTGATTGTCTTATACAGGTGGTCAAAGGAGCAGGTGATTGTCTTATACAGGTGATCAAAGGAGCAGGTGATTGTCTTATACATATGTGGCCGTTAGTGCAGGTGATTGCCTTATACAGATGGTCAAAGGAGAAGGTGATTGTCTTATACAGGTGGCCGTTAGTGCAGGTAATTGTCTTATACACGTAGTCAAAGGAGAAGGTGATTGTCTTAAATACAGGTGGTCAAAGAAGCAGGTGATTGTCTTATACAGGTGGCCGTTAGTGCAGGTGATTGTCTTATACAGTGGTCAAAGGAGCAGGTGATTGTCTTATACAGGTGATCAAAGGAGCAGGTGATTGTCTTATACATATGTGGCCGTTAGTGCAGGTGATTGCCTTATACAGATGGTCAAAGGAGAAGGTGATTGTCTTATACAGGTGGCCGTTAGTGCAGGTAATTGTCTTATACACGTAGTCAAAGGAGAAGGTGATTGTCTTAAATACAGGTGGTCAAAGAAGCAGGTGATTGTCTTATACAGGTGGCCGTTAGTGCAGGTGATTGTCTTATACAGGTAGCCATGAGTGAGTATTTAACCCTTTCCCCTGCAATCTATTTATAACCGCTTTGACCAGCAGCTGGCTGATATGCATCCGCACATGTATTAAATTTCAGCATTTCGCCTAAATTCAGACTTCATCAGGAACATGGCCGAGAGAAAAAACAATACCATAGTTATAAATAGTAACAAAGCACTCACCAGAAGATGTTTCGTAACGGTGCATAAGAGAACATGTCGGACAGAACCGAAGCTCAGAAAAATAAAAGCTAACTAGTTACTGGGGTTGGCTCTGCCATGGTCCTGGCTGAAAGTCTAAATAAAGCGAAATAGGTCACACACACAGTGTGGAGAGCTCACGCACAACTGGCACAGAATAAGCGAGGGAAACTACATCAACACAATTATCATTATCATCACCGTCACCATTATCATCAAAGTCAACAAAATCACTACCATCACCACCATGACCATCACTACCACCCTAAAAACCATGATCACCACTACCACCGTCACCATCACTGAAATCACTACCATGACCACCACCATCATCACTACTACCACCGTCACCACCACCACCACCATTGTCATCACCACTGTCACCATCACCATTGTCATCACCACTGTCACCACCACCATTGTCATCACCACTGTCACCATCACTACCATGACCACCACCACCGTCACCATCACTGCCACCATCACAACCATGAACACCATCACTACCGTCACCACAACTATCACTGCCATCACAACCATCACCATCACTGCCATCACCATTGTCACCACCACCATAGTCATCACTACTACTGTCACCACCACCACCACCACCATTGTCATCACCACTGCCATTACTACCACCAACATCATCACCCCTGTCACCACCACCATGACCATCATCACCACCGCCACCACTGCTATCACAACCATCACCACCACCATTGTCATCACCACGGTCACCATCACTACCATGACCACCACTACCACCACCACCACCAAAACCACATATGACTCTCCCCGCCCAACACTGTACTGACCCTTGTCTAGACAGCAGTGTACACTCCCTGCCAGCCACGGTCACCACAGCCTGACTCCCAATGGTCAAGTGCTGACCACTGATAACCAGAGTGGTCCCCCCGGACACTGGTCCACAGATCGGGTTGAAGGAGGTCACATTAGGACTCTGGACCCGGGAAGTGGGGAAGGCAGGAAGGAGAAAAGAATGAAAGAATTCATGAAAGAATATTTGGATGAACAAATCAATGGGCAAATACAATGATTTTACAAAAATCAAGTAATGAAACTGGAAGAGTATATTATTTTTTCCTTTTTATGTACGATATGATATACAGGCAAACCTCATTATATTATACTACTCCCCCC